AATGCCGAGTTTGAGTAACTCATCCTTGTTTGCATCAAAAGGTCTCAAAGACCTTTTCAGAAACTGACTGGATTTTGGTTGTTTTCAGGCTGTGACTGTTTCTCTTTGGCTGCAGCTGCAGCAGATCTGTTTGCTGCTGCCATCTGTTGGGGGAGGAGTTGGTTCTGTTAAGGTGTTTGCTATTAAATAACAGAAAAATGTTTGCTTAAAGACAGTTTCTAAATTGTTACCCATTTACAAACCACTCCAGGTCATCGTCATCGCTCCAACTCTCTGACCCGTGTGGATGGGCAGCCCCAAGGGGCAGTGCTCGCTTGGCCAGAGAGGAAACCCAGGTAAGGGATCCTTTAGGTGCTTAAGACATGAATTACTGTTTGAGGGAAGGACACTGTGACAGTTCCATTGTAGTGTTGTGCTATCACTGCCTTAGGACTGGCCTGAGAGTCGCTTAATTCTGTTTTCTGGTAATGTGCGTTTTCAGAGCAGTTGAAAATACTTCAAACATGATTTTCACGTTGAAAATGGAAGTGTCTGAAGTTGTTGTTGCCCACTTTTGATATGTTTAAGTGAAACTAAAATATGCTAAAGACCAATATAATGTTCAACAAATTGTAACTTGTTGTGCTTAAGTGTCAGTAGATTGTTCTTATCTTTTCTAGGCCTTTGTCTCAGCCAACACCATTTGCTCTTCATCACTCTGCCAGCACTGATGTGGACCCTGGCTCTGGTGACAGCATCAGCCTGGCCAGATCCATCAGCAAGGACAGCCTGGCTTCAAACATTGTCAATGTAACCCCCAAAAATCAGCCCCATAACTTGTTGTGCTTAAGTGTCAGTAGATTGTTCTTATCTTTTCTAGGCCTTTGTCTCAGCCAACACCATTTGCTCTTCATCACTCTGCCAGCACTGATGTGGACCCTGGCTCTGGTGACAGCATCAGCCTGGCCAGATCCATCAGCAAGGACAGCCTGGCTTCAAACATTGTCAATGTAACCCCCAAAAATCAGCCCCATCCTCCAGAAAGCCAATGTGAAGAGCGTACTGAGCAGTGTGGAAATCGAGGATGAGGATGAAGAGCTTATTGCAATCATCAGATCTGAAGAAAGGCCGAACCGCAGCGAGCTGGAGGTGCAGAATGCAGCAGCCAGGGTGCCCAGCATAGCTGCAACAGCTTGGTCTCCAAAAACAAACAGTGACACCCTGGACAGCAAACCAGAGAGTTTTTACCTGGAGCCTTTAATGCCTGCTGTCCTGAAACCAGCCAAGGAGAAACAGATCATCAACAAAGAGGAGGAATGTGGGGAGGGGAAGCAGAGGAGTTTTGTAAGCAAGAGGTTAAATGAAGGACATTTGTCTTTGATCCGCAAGAAAGCAACGAGCAGTCATGGTGGACATGACCTCAGTAGGACTTTTACTCCAATTTCTAGCACTGATTTCACTCCAGCTGCAGATCCCAGTGCTGCAGATTCAGTGGCCCTGGAAGCAAGTTTAGAAGCCTCCAGACCTTTGGCCAGTAGCAGTTTAGATCCTTCCTCTCAGGAGGTATCCACTGGAGGATTTTTTCTTCATGCTGCTCAACCTGATGACGAGGTACCAAGTAAAGTCAACGTAAGTTATGTGAAAGGTCTCAATCTGCACGTTCAGGACACCTCCTGGACCATGGTGAGACAGGACTCAGAGTCAGATCTCCTGGACATTGAAGACGCCGAACAGGATTTGGTAGTCATAGATGACCATCCCATAGTCGCCAAGTACATTGGTGAGGAAGAATCTGCAAAACTGCAAGAAGACATGAAGGTGAAGGAGCACGAGGACAAGGATGATGCCAGTGGACGCTCCAGCCCCTGTCTGAGCACCATTTCCCAAGTGAGCAGTGTGTCCATGGCCAGTGGCAGTGTAAGGATGACCAGCTTCGCCGAGCGAAAGCTGCAGAGGTTGAACAGCTATGAGACCAAGTCCAGCACAAGCAGCTCCCAGAAGACCACCCCAGATGGGTCAGAAAGCTGCCCAGCACCACTGACCACCTGGAAGCAAAAGCGAGAACAGAGTCCCAACAGGCAGAGCAAAGATAATGTTAATCTTTCAGCTTCTGAGCTGGTGCAGCTCCACATGCAGCTGGAAGAGAAACGAAGGGTGATAGAAGCTCAGAAAAAGAAGATGGAAGCCCTGTCAGCAAGGCAGAGGCTAAAACTGGGCAAAGCAGCTTTCCTGCATGTTGTTAAGAAAGGGAAATCCCCTGACGGTCCTCAGCCTCTCAAACCAGAACATTTTGCTAAGGAATATTCTCGGCACAATGGGGAAGACTTAGATGAAGTTTCTTTGGGTTCCAAATCTGAGGAGTTTCTGGTGAAAGAGGAGGAGAGAGAGGAAATGCTTAATGATTCTGCGGAAGTAGCAAAAGTGAAAATGCAGGAAAGCTTGGCTTTTGCTGAGCAACACAAACCAAAAGACTCTGCTGCTATACACGATTTGGAAAAGAGCAAAATTATTTCCGTTGCTCTCCTAGAAGACAATGTGACTGAGGTGGATATAAATGAATGTGACCTCTCCATTGAGAAACTCAACGAAACAATCAGCACCCTTCAGCAGGCTATCATCAAGATTTCCCAGCAGCAGGAGCTGCTGATGAAATCCCCAACAGTGCCATCACCAGGAACCAGAGGTAACTCTCAGGACCAAAAGGTAAAGCCTTCGATTCACTTCGTGGAGCCTCTGTCTCCCACTGGGATGAACAGTCTGCGGAAGCCTCCTCGGTTTGGCCAGGGCAGGACCCCTCGGGCAGGAAGACCGTCTGAGCTGAAAGTCCCCAAGGACAGGCAGCAGAACTCAGCTCGTGTTAAAACCCCAACTCCAAGCCTAGAAAACTTACCACACTTAAGACCAGTCCCACCCAACAGCTTGTCAAAGACCCCCACGGAGATGGGCCTGGAAGGTAGTCCTGATCATGGAAATGGTTCTCAAGAGAAGTGTTTCTTTGATACCTATAGACTCCACGATGAGAGCAATCAGAGGGCACTGGTTCTCTCCACCTCCAAAGATGCAAATATTCTGTCTGAAATGAGCAAGGAGGTGAACAACAGCCTGAAGGAAACAGGGTTGAATTCTTCTGATGGCTCAGGCAAAGAGAATGTCCCAGTGGATGAGCCACTGAGAAGCAAAGCTAATCTCATTGAAGTAGACTTGTCTGACTTAAAAGCTCCAGATGAAGGAGAACTTGAAAACCAGGATAGCTCCACGGATATGATTAGTGAAGGGGATCAGAAGTCTGGTGTGGGTTTCTTCTTCAAGGTAAATATTACCTTTCTCCTCTTGGTCACTGCTGCATACTTGCACTAGAACCCTAGTCCACTTCATCCTTCTGATGGAACACAGGACACTTGGGTTGCAATACTTGGATTTAAAAAAATGCTGTGGAAAAGCTCATGGAGAAAGAAGCTTTTGCCATAATATGTGAAATCTTGGTTCTTGGTAACTTTGCTAGGAGCCAGCAATAACCTTGGTTTTCTTCTTTCCTTGAGTTTTTTCTGTCTGAGAGACAGAGATAAAAACATGTTGTGAATACTTAGGAAGAAGAATCACAGAATGCAAGGGAAGAATTTTCCATTTTGAAATCTCAATATCCTGTGAACCTGTGTCCACTGCAAGGAAAGATTCTAGCTCTAGCTCTAGCACTTGTCAGGGAGCTGAGTCTGTACAGGGGGTTTTTTGGCATTTGCACCCAAATTTCTCTGGTTTTGGGCAGCCAAAGGC